ATGCTGATGGTGTCCCGATGATGATAATAATGATAATGACGATGTTGATGATGATGTTGCTCATGATGATGATGGTGCCCCAATGATGATGATGATGATGTTGCTGATGATGATGATGATGTCGATGATGATGATGATGCGATGATCATGATGATGATGGTGTCCCAAGGATGATGACGATGTTGATGATAATGTTGATGATGATGATGATGCTGCTGATGATGATGATGATGATGATGATGCTGACGCTGATGCTGATGATGATGCTGATGATGATGATGATGCTGATGGTGATGATGATGATGATGATGATGATGATGATGTTTATGATGATGATGATGCTGATGATGATGATGATGATGATGATGATGATGATGATGATGATGATGATGATGCAAATGATGACGATGCTGATGATGATGCTGATGATGATGATGATGATGATGATGATGACGATGTTGATGATGATGATGATGGTGATGATGATGATGATGATGATGATGATGATGATGATGATGATGGTGGTGGTGGTGGTGATGATAATGATGATGGTGATGATGATGATAATGATTCTGATGATGAGAATGATGAGGATGATTATGATCAGGAACGCGCGACCCACAATTTCAAAATCGGCAGCATTCTACCTTTTTCCATTCTGGTGTCTTTCCCCCCCCGAGGCCACCCCATGAATCCCCTTCCCGCGTGAGACCTCCCCCCCAATGCCCGACACCTCAGAAAACCAAAGCAACGAAAGCGCATGGAGGCCGCCGAGCAGGCGACGTGAAACTCCACCCGTTCACGGTCACTCAGTAATCTTCTGTGGGGCGGTTCGGAGGGATGTCTCGGGGGACGGGATCGCGGCTTGCTCACCCCCCAATCGTCATCCTCCCCCTCGTCATCTTCGTACGGTTATCATTATCACTCTCCTCATCCTGACCCCCCTCATCCTGATCCGAACTGCCTCGACATCTCCAGTAGCCGTGTGCGTACGATCTTCGGTGGAGCTACCCATGGGGCGACGACCCCTGTGAGATGTGCGACGGAATCGGGGGGGTGGAACTGCATGCGAAGCTTGCAACTGGAGCCTTCGGTGGAGCTCCCGATGGGGCCATGAACCGTGTGAGGGGTGCAACGATATAGGATGTGGAACCGCATTCGAACCCTGCCAGTGGGGCCTTCGGTGGAGCTCCCTATAGGCCACGAGGCGTGTAAGGGTGCACCAGAATGGTGCGTGGAACCGCATGCGAACCTTGCCACTGGGGCATTCGGTGAAGCTCCCTGTGGGGCCACGAAACGTGTGAGGGGTGCGCCGAAATGAGGGTTCAACTGCATGTGAACCCTGCAACTGGGGCCTTCGGTGGAGCTCCCTATTGGGACACGAAACTTGTAAGGGGTGCGCCGAACTGATGGCGGAACTGCATGCGAAACCTGTCACTGAGGCCTCTAGTGGGGCACCCTATGGGGCCGCGAACCGCGCGATGGGTGACCCGACATGGAGGGTGGAACTGCACGCAAACTTTTCCACTGGGGCCAGCGGTGGGGCTCCCTATTCGGCCACGAACCGAGTGAGGGGTGCGCCGAAATCGAGGATGGAACTGCATGCGAACTTTCCCACTGGGGCCTGCGGTGGGGCTCCCTGTGGGCCACGAACCGTGTGAGAGGTACGCCGAAATGGGGGCCTTCGGTGGAGCTCCCTATGGGGCAACGAACCGTGTGAGGGGTGTGCGGACATTGGGGGGGTGGAATTGCATGCGATTTGTCCCAGTGGAGCCTTAGGCCGAGCTGCCTATGGGGCCACGAAACGTATGAGGGGTGCGCCGAAATGTGGGACGGAACTGCATTCGAACTTTCCCACCGGGGGCGGAGCCCAAGGGAACTCGACGAGAGCCAAGGATTGCCCTACGACGACCGACGAAAGCCCAACGGAGCCCGACGGAGTCGGACGGAACGGGGCGGAATCCGACGGAGCCCGACGAAGCCCAAAGGACAGAGGAGAAGGAAACAGGAGGAGGAGGAGGAGGAGGAGGAGGAGGAGGAGGAGGAGCCTGACGCATCCAGACGATAGGAAGGAGGAGGACAAGAGGAGAGGATGAGGACGCGGGTGGTCCTCCGGCAGTTGTCTGCAGAAAGTGCCCCGTGTGTCAGCGTGCGGGCACGTGGCCGAGGGCACTGGCAAGGCACCCATTCTGCGAGCCGTCCTGACGCAGGGGGGGGGACAGGGGAGCAGAGAGGGGTGGGAGAGGGGGTCGGGTGGGGCAGGGGGAGGGCGGGGAAATGGACGCAGGGCAGGTGCAAACATGAAATTATCCCGGCGAAGGACCCAACATGCAGCTGTGGGCACCGCAATTGTGAATATCTTCTTCGGTGGAGCTCCCTATGGGGCCACGAAGCGCTGCACTGGGTGGGGGGGAACGCATGCGACGGTGGCACTGGGACCTTCGGTGGAGCTCCCTAGTGGGCCACGAAGCGCTGCACTGGGTGGGTGAAATTACCAAATTGGACGTTCCGGGACGCATGTGGACGGTGGCGCTGGGGACTTCGTTGGAGCTCCCTTTAGGGCCCCGAAACGCTGATGGTCCAGGACGCATGCGGACGGTGGCGCTGGCGCCTTCGGTGGAGGAGCTCCCTATGGGGCCACGAAGCGGTGTACTGGGTGTGTGAAAATGCGAAATTGGATGTTCCGGGATGCGTGCGGACGGTGGAACTGGCGCCTTCGGTGGAGCTCCCTACGGGGCCACGAAACGCTCTACTGGATGGGTGAAAATGCCAAATTGGATGTTCCGGGACGCATGCGGACGGTGGCATTTGCGCCTTCGGTGGAGCTCCCTATGGGGCCACAAAGCGCTGTACTGGTTGGGTGAAAATGCCTAATTCGATGTTCCAGGACGCATGCGGACGGTGGCACTTGCGCCTTCGGTGGGGCTCCCAATGGGACCCCGAAGCGTTGTACTGGGTGGATGAAATTGCCGAATTGGATGTTCCGAAACACATGCGGACGGTGGCACTGGCTCCTTCGGTGGAGCTCCATATGGGGCCACCAAACGTTGCATTGGGTGGGTAAAAATGCCACATTGAATGGTCCGGGACGCATGCGGACGGTGGCACTTGCGCCTTCGGTGGAGCTTCCTATGGGGCCACGAAGCGGTGTACTGGGTGGGTGAAAATGCCAAATTCGATGTTCTGGGATGCATGCGGACGGTGGCACCGGCGCCTTTGGTGCAGCTCCCTGTGGGGCCACGAAGCGCTGCACTGGGTGGGCGAAAATGCCGAATTGGATGTTCCGGGGCGCATGCGGACGGTGGCACTTGCGCCTTCGGTGGAGCCCCCTATGGGGCCACGAAACGCTCTACTGGGTGGGTGAAACGCCAGGAGGAAGAGGGGGGGAGGAGGAGGGAGGAAGAAGGGAGGAGAAACGCGGGGACCGTCCTGTCAAAACGAGGACCCAACACCACAGGATGGTTGAGAAAAATATTGGGGGGGCGCAGTGGCACAATGATGGGGATTTCTGTTGCCGCACAAGCGCTTGGCGCCTATGGACGCCTCGGCGTCGTAGGGTTTGTGGAAGTAGGAGGCCTTTGCGAGGAGGCCTCCGATCGCGTGCGGGGCGGTGTGTGGCCGCGTGTGAGCGTTTGGCAGTGGCGGGGAAGGCGTCGGCGTGCGCTGTTGCGCTCGCGCAGGTGCCCTTGGGCGCGCGCCCACTGCCCGCGGGTGCCTCAAAGTCAGCTGCGATTACGGTTGGGCGCGCGCGGGGGCTTTCCCCCCCGCTTCTTGACAGATGTGACTGGATGGGGGGTGTTTGCCATTGCCCCCGCGCGCCTGTGAGCGGCCGTGGTCCGGGGTGGCCGCCTGCGGGCGTGTTTGCAAGCAGCGCCGCACTTCTGGTTGCCCGCACGCGCCTCCGCGCGTGCTGCATGGCGCAGCCTGGCCGCGCGCTGGGCAAGCGCCCCCTGGCGCCAACGGAAGCCCAGACCCCAGTGACAAAAAAAACATTCCGAGCAAACTCCCATGCGACCATCATGGGCCTCCCTGGAGGTGATCGAGGGAAGAAACACGATGACCATGGCCAAGATGTCGCGGGATCTTGCCGACGCCTATCGTTGGTCATATTCTATTATGGCCGTCGCCGATCCGCCTGGATGATCCACAAGATGACGATGACCAAGATGGACGATGACCTAGGTCGACACCGACGTGTCCACGTTCAGTCTTGGCCATGGTCCTCGTTTTCTTTCCCTCCAGTTTCCTCGTCCTGCGCCTGCGAATGCCGAGGGAGCTAGGAAGAGAAGAAGTTGGAGGAGAGAGAGGAGGAGTAGAAGGAGGAGGCAGCCGTCCGAAGGTTGGCCACCGCCCTCCCCAGACAGGGTCAGACTGGACTTGACCAGGCTGGACCTCCCGCTGGTGGTTCCAAACGCTCTCGTCCTCCACATCTTTCGCATATGTTCCATTACCACCTTCATCATCAGTTTTATCATCATCATCATCATCAGCATCATCATCATCATCATCATCATCATCATCATCATCATCATCATCAGTATCATCAGCATCATCATAATCATCATCATCATCATCATCATCATCATCATCATCATCATCATCATCATCATCATCATCATCATCATCATCATCATTATCATCTGCATGCTGTGCTGTGATAGCCCCCGTTTACCGATCATTTCTCCAGCCACAACTTCGTTCGGAATATCAATACACCAGCCGGTGTTCGAGCGACCAGTTCGAAATCATATTCTCATCGGGCCATCGCCCTTCCTCTATCCGAGCCGTTGTGTTTCCACGCCCGAAGTCGGTATTAGTTTCACGGGGGGCGGCGGCGGTGGTGAGTGTAAGTCGTGAGCAGGTTGCGTCAACTTCTTTCCGTTCCATGCTCAAGTCTTCTGACCAGGGACAGTTGGAGGTAAGCACAGGAAGCACGATAAAATCAGCCCTACGGTTGGATCGGTGCCCCTATGTTCTTCGTCTTTGTGAGCATTCTTTTATTATTTGTTTTTGCTTTCGGCGGAACGCCCCTCCCCCCCCTCCCCCCCCCCGTAGAGAAGTTCCGGGCTGATTTTGGCACCTGCTTCAATCGATCGGACGAACTACAGGGGCCGGCGCCCCCCCCCCTCCCCCGGTAGAAACTCGAATCGCTGATGTGTGCAACTGTGCGCATTTTATCGTGCTACTCTTCTGGAACCACAACGAAAGGGCTCAGGGGCGCCAGACCCGATCGCCAGAAAGCATGCATCGCCGTGATCCCTAGCAATTCTGGCACAGGCTTGCCAAATCACGCATAGCCTTGGCGCAGCCCCGCGCAGCCGCTGCGCGATTCCCCCATGGGGGGTCTCCCCTAGGATTCCCTCATCGGCATCTCCCACAGGATTCCCCACATGATTCAATCGGAGGCATTGACTACGGGCCGAGAGCCGGACCCCCCCCCCTCCCCCCCATGCGCCTAAAGCCGGAACCCAGAATAAAAAAATGCTCACTTTGCTCTCCACCGTGGAGTGCCCTTCGTTTGGCATACCCCCGTCTCGGCGAAGGGGACCGTGCCCGTGGCCCACGTCCGCGTGGCCATGTGTCGATTGCACGGAATGTGACAGTTGGAGAGGCAGGGAGGCGAGCGTTGCGCCCAGAGGTTTGAGCGTTCCACGCTCCTTGCAGCAAGGTTGGGCGTCGGGGCAGGACGGGGTCTACGCGATGATTCTCTGCAGAGTGATCCTAGGCCGGATCAATTACTGCGCCGAGAAGGACTGCCCTGAATGGAAGGTGGGGAGAAGAGACGCGGGGACAAATATGCACATTTCCAACACTTCTTTTGGAGCCAGGGTGGCAGTTTAGGGGCCCCTCTCGGACCACTTGCCTGCATCCCGATTGCTGAAGCGGACGCAGCGACCGACGTGTGGAACGCCCCCACAAAGGCCTCGCTTGGGAGGCATCGAGAAGGTAACTTCTCTTCTCTTCGGCGGAAGGCTGCGGTAGGCTGGCGGACGGCCAGCGGACGAACAGCGAGGTCGGCTCCGCCAGCGGAAGGCCAATGGAAGGCGACGGACACGCCGGTTCTCTATAGAGCATAGGAATGATCCGTTCCCGATTTCGTCCCTTCCCCTGCCTTCGTCCCGAAGCTGGGAATTGCCCCTGGCCGATGCTCCAGCTTTAACGGCTGGCCTGGGCGCCACCTCGGCGGCCTCGGGTCGTCGATCAGTCGTGCGGTGCGGCTGTCGGATGAGAAATCAGTCCTAGACGTCGTGGAAGAAATCGAGACGGAAATGTTGGGGCTGTTTTCGGCCTCGAGTTTCAAAAACGGTGACAAGCTGGTCCCAGGGAGCGGGCCAGAATCTCCAGGGGGGTCCACCGCAGCGAAAGCATCAGGACGTCGGGGGCCTGCGGCTTCAGCGGAGGGAAAAGAAAGCGCAAAGTCGGCATCTGAAGTTGAGCTGGCCGGACTGTGGGGCGGCCGCGGCGGTATTGCCCAGAGCCTGTGGAGGGACGCGGCCGCCGCAGCAGTAGCCTGACCGGGCTGGGGACCCGGCCTCGAGCAGAGGAGGAGGGAAGAGGACAGGGGGGGGGGGGGAGATGGAGGGGCATGAGGGGGAGGGGATGAGCACGCTATTATCACAGATTTCAGCTTCACCCCTCCTTGTCCCCCGCTCCCTCCTCCCTCCTCCCCGGCCCCCCCCTCTCTCCCTCCCTCCCTGCCCCCAAACTTCCTGAATCCCCCTGCGCCTCTCCCTCCTCCCTGTCACTTCCCGTTCCCCTCCCACTGAACACTGAACAGGGCCCGTCCTCTTCCTCATTCTTTCATTTTTCCCCCCTTGACAAGTAAACTCCATGAATACTATTATCCCTCCTCCCCTGAAGTTGTCCAGAAGATCTCCCGCTCCCTCCGCATGTTAATTTGTTGCACACGGGATCTCATGGGTTCTTACAATCCGATTGTTCTGGGTGTTTCAAACGTGTGCTCCCGCTGTTGCGTAGGCCTCATTTTCGGATCGGCGCTGTGCTACCGTAGTCCAAATTGGCGCTCTCGCCCCAGCGCGGGCCACTTTTCTGGATCCGAGTCTTGCTTCATTGTGGTCCCTCCCCGTTTCCCCTTCTCCGCCTTCCACTGGTCCTCCTAGTCCTCCCTCTCCTTCCACTCCAGTTCCTGCCGCTGCTGTTCGTCTTGCCCCAGCGCGGGCCACTTTTCTGAATCTGAACTCTTCTTCATCTCTGTCGCCCTGTCGCCCCCCTCATATCCCTTCCTCCGCCTTCCCCTGGACCTCATGTTTCTCCTATCCTTCCGTTGTAGTTCCTGCTGTTGCTGTTCGTCCTCATCCTTATATTCCCGCTCATCATCCTGCTCACCCGCCACCTCCTCCTCCTCCTCCTTCTCCTGCTCTTCATTTGCACGCAACTTCCTTTTCTCCGATTGCGCATCTCACGAAGTGGTCTTTCTGTGGGAGTTGCAGGTCGGCTATGACACTCGTCTGCGGATCATGACACTCAGCGCCATGGGAAGGAATGGGAAGAAGGGATAGAATGTCAGATGATGAGGCGCGATCATACCTGGCTTGCCCCTTTCCCCTTTCAGAGCCTTCCTCATACTAGGCAGCGAACTAGAGCGGCCATCGCACAGTCATTCGACGCTGGAAGCTAGTGCGACACGATTGCCGCGTGCAAGGCCACAAGGAAGGGCGCAGCTCCCACGTGTGTGGCGCTCCAGACTGGGCCTTGCCTTCGAGGGTCGAAGGAGTTGTCATCTCTTCCTCGGCGGCAGGCGTGGGTGGCGGAAGCCGGCGGGAGAAAGAGCGAGGCAGCCTCCTCCGGGGGAAGCCGGCGGAAGCAACGGATGCGCCCCCGAGGGATGGCATTTTTTGGCGGGTTCAGGGCTCCTGGGATCTGGGGTCGATCACGCAGGGGATCGGCGCATGGCCGCCCCTCGGCAGGGCGAGGGAGCGCGTGGCACAGCACCCCACGTACAGGAGCGGGCCCTCCCAGCCCTCTGCCGCCAGGACCCGACCACCAATCCTGGGAGAAAGGCCTTGGAGCAGTCCTGCACTCCGGCGGGCGGGTACCTCCTCGCGGCCACCGCCGCCGTCGGTGTCAGCAGCGTCGGCGTCGTTGTTTGCTGTGTCGGCTCCGCTGCCGCCGTCGGGTCGTGGGAGTGGTTGGGAGGCGGAAGGCGTTGCTCTGGCGGGTGACATGGTGCTTGGGCAGGTTCTAGAGAGTCGTCGGAGGTTCCAGCGGGCTGTTGTCGAGGAGAGGGGGGGAAGGGAAGGAGGAGGAGGAGGAGGAGGACGAGGACGGAGTGTGCCTCAGGGAGATGTTTGGGGGTGCCAGGGGGCCTTCTTCTGGGGGCTGTTCAGAGATTCTGGTGGTACATTGCGGCACGACGGCCACGTTTTAGGGGCTTTAGTCTTAGGGGGACGGGGGTGGTTCTAGAGGTTGGGGGCGGGTATCTGGGAGTCCGAGTCCGACTTCGGCGAGGAGGAGGATGACGACGACCACAACCACCAGAACGAGGAGAAAGAAGCACGGCGGGTCTGGGTCGGCGAGGGTCCCCCTCCCCTCCTTCCTTATCATCCTCCTTCTTTCCTTGCCTTGCCTCCCCTCACTCCACCCCATTCTCCTTGTGCATAACTCCTCCCCGTCGCGCCATCAGCCGTGCTGTGGTGCGTAGCGGGCGATTCGCGTGAGACATCTTTTCGCCGCTTAGATCCTGAAGCTTGACATGTCCAGCAGTTGCACGGACGGAGGGTGGGCCGTTTCCAAACCTGGGCTTTCCTTGGCGTCGCGCATTGTCGTTTCAAACATTCACTGCAGTTGTACGACTGGAGGGCCAGCAGGTTTTAAAACCAATTTTTTGTCTTGGTGCCGCGCGCACTCGTCTCACACATCCCCATCAGCTACACGGATGGAGGGTGGGCAGTCTTCAAAATTGGATTCTCGCTCAGGCGTCGCGCACGCTCGTTCAAACAAGCCCCACGAGTTCCACGCATGGAGAGCGGGCAGTTTTCAAAATGGTGTTCTCGCCTTGGCGCCCCGCGTGCTCGTCCCCTTTGATCTAAAGCCTTTGCGCCGTGCCCGTTGCGCTCAAAGCTTGTGCCCCCCCCCTGCCCCCCGCGGGGCCGCCCAGACGCCTCGAAGGACACAGCGGGGCATCACCAGGGGCCCTCGAGCCCGAGGGCGCCCTCTCCCTTCCCTCTCCCTCCCGCGTGCCGATGATGAGCGGGCCGCCCGGAGAGCTGCACTTCCGGAACCCGCGCGAGCGGGCGGCGGTGTTCGCCGCGGAGGCGGGGGAGTGGCGCCGCGAGCTGGCGTCGGCGGAGACGCGCCTGGCGCCCCTGCGGGCCGAGGCCGCCGAGGCCGCCGAGGAGACGGCCGAGGCGCGGGAGCAGCTGGCGCGGCTGCGCGGGGAGGCCGCCGAGGCTCAGCATCGTCTGGCTTATCTCCACCCCTACTGGGCCATGGGTGTCTCGGCCCCACCAGGTCGCCCGCCCAGGTGGGGACGGGTCCTGCGAACCACGAAGGGAACATCATAACACATATATGTTTATATGGAGAGAATTATTCATATTGACATACATCCATACACACATGCATGCACACATGCTCACACCTGTACACACTCGTAAACACATACATCCATGCATGCATGCCTGTCTGCATGCATATATGCATACGTGCTTACATACATTCGTACGCCCATATATATACTTACCTACCTACCTACCTACCTACCTACCTACCTACCTACCTACCTACATACCTACATACAGGCGTGCATACATGCATGTATGCATGCATGCATGCATACATTCATACGTACATAGATACACACATACATGCATACATACGTACATGCATGTATGCAGGCATACACACATACATGTGTGTATACAAAGCAGCAGGCGTACATGCATACGTACACGCATACATGTTTATCAATGTACTTACACATAGATAGGCACATAATCATACACATAGACATGCATGCATACATACATGCACACATGCATGCATGCATTCATGCGTTCATGCACAAGTACATGCGTGCATACATACATACATGCATTATATACAAGTATGTATACATACATACATGCATACGTACACACATACATGCATACATACATTTACACAAGCATCTAGAAATACATGTATACATACACATGCATGCATGCATACATACATACATACATACATACACACATGCATACATGCACACCATCATACATATACGATGTGTTCGTACACAGCGTAGCTATACATGTATATCCACATATATATACACGTATATATTTATACATGTATAGATATGTAAATATATAATTTATCGATATGTGTGTGTGTGGTCCAGGGTGTGCCCCCCCCATCCTAAGGCAATGCCAGTGGGGACAGGGATCTGTGCCACAATGCTCAAAGGCTCGCGCCTCGCTTGCAGCGGAGCGCGGGCGCGCCGCGGAGGCCGAGGCGGCGGCGGCGCTTAGCGCCGGGCAGCTTGCCGGCGCCGTCTCCGCGCGCGAGGCCGCCGTCGGGGCCGAGGACCATCGGCGGCGCGGCGCGCACTCGACAAAAAGTCGGGACCCAGACCCCCTCGAGCTGTGAATTATCCCGGCAAAGCAACCTAACAGCGATGTGTAGGAGCATATCTGGAAGCATTCCCCTTCAGATTCAAATGAGAATCCAGTTGTAGAATTCTGCTGTTCTCGCAGTCGTAGTCGCATTCGCGATGACAGTCGCAGTGGCAACGGCAGTCGCAGTCACAGCCTCAGCCTCAGCCTGCCTCAGCCTCAGCCTCAGCCTGCCTCAGCCTCAGCCTGCCTCAGCCTCAGCCTCAGCCTGCTTCAGCCTCAGCCTCAGTCTGCCTTCAGCCTCGGCCTCAGCCTCAGCCTGCCTCAGCCTCAGCCTGCATCAGCCTCAGCCTCAGCCTCAGCCTGCCTCAGCATCAGCCTGCCTCAGCCTCAGCCTCAGCCTGCCTCAGCCTCAGCCTCAGTCTGCTTCAGCCTCAGCCTCAGTCTGCCTTCAGCCTCGGCCTCAGCCTCAGCCTGCCTCAGCCTCAGCCTGCCTCGGCCGCAGCATCAGCCTGCCTCAGCATTCAAAATGTGGCCCAGGAGTGGAGTTCTGGGAAACTAGAAGAACACGAGGTGGCCTACAGTTGGCTCCGGGCATTCAAAATCATGCCCAGGAATGGAGTTCTGGGAACTTGAAGAGCACGAAGTGGCCTACAGTTGGTTCCGGGCATTCAAAATGTGGCCCGGGAATGGAGTTCTGGGAACTCGAAGAGCACGAAGTGTCCTACAGTTGGCTCCGGGCATCCAAAATGTGGCCCGGGAATGGAGCTCTGGGAACTCGAAGACCACGAAGTGGCTTATAGTTGGCTCCGGGCATCCAAAATGTACGACGGGAATGGAGTTCTGGGAAGTCGAAGAGCGAAGTGGCTTACAGTTGGCTCCGGGCATCCGAAATGTACGCCGGGAATGGAGTTCTAGCAGCGCCAAGAGCGATTTTGCGAGGATGTCCCAAGCGATTTGGGCTTCGACGGCAGCCGCGCCGGGTCCCGCCCCGGGTCCCGCCTCGACCCCCCTGAGGAGTCATGATGCTCTCTTTTGAGACCACTAGAAACCTATCAGCAAGAGCTGTTAGGTAAAAAAACAGAATGGGAGGTTTTCTCAATTTTCGGCCTCTGAGTCTGAGTGTCCTTACCGTGCCTCAGGACCGTCAAACAACGACTCAGGATGAAAACCGGTCCCGTGGAATAGGTCGAAACCTCTGGGGGTCGACGTCATGAACAAATCGTGACGTCGGGGGTTTGGGGACGGAGGTTTCTCATTGTTTTGTGCCTCTCGGGACCCTCACCGGGCCTCGTTGTCCTCAAAAACGATGCGGCAGCAAAAGAATTGTCCCAAGGAACTGGTCGAGAGGTCGGGGGGGCCGTGCTTCGAAAAAAGAGCCGCCGGATTGGTCCCTTCGCCGGAGTGACCTTTGGTGCGGACCCGCGTGGGTCGCCCCAGCACGGACCTGCGCGCTTGGAGTGGACCCCCACGCGACCCTCCAAAGACGCGCACTATGAGGTCGCTCTTGCCCAGAGTCGCTCTCGCTGAGAGAGCCGATGTTTTTTTCTTATTTTTGTGAATATACAGGTTCCCCGGGAGTCCTGACCCCTCCCCCCCGGGGCCTGCTTCTGAACCCGAGTCCTTCTTTGATGCTCCCGCGGCCCGGCGAGGGGCCCCAGAGGCCGAAGGCCGCCAAGAGCTTGCCGTCGCCTTTTCTCTCCCACTACGCGAGGGGGCTCCTGGGCCAGGGCCACCCCTGGGCAGCGTTTTCATGTTCCCCTGCGGTCATGGGCGTGACCAGGGGGGGGGGGGCGGGGGGGGCGGGGGCCGATGGGGGCACGTCACGATTCGCGCCGCCGCCGTCTGGGAATGTTGAGGAATGGGTCGTTCTCGGGCGCCGCAGGTGCGAAGCGCAACGTGACCAGAGAGGGGGGGCGGGCCAGACCCCCGACGTCATAAGTTGTTGAGTTGTTGAGAACGTCGGCCCCCAGAGGTCCTGACCTATCCCCAAGGACGGGTTGTTCATCCCGAGTCATCTTCTGACGGCCCCGAAGCCCCGTAAGGGCCCCCAGAGGCCGAAAATTGCGAAACAACATCCGTCGCTGTTGTTTCATGACTCGAGGGGGCCGGTCAGGGGCGTCAGCGCGAATGTTACAAAACATAACGAAGTCTTACGTGCAGCTGCGAGGAGGGCAGAGGCAAGGGTGAGAGAGGAGGGCGGAGGCAAGGATGGACGGAGGGAAGATGGGGGGGGGTAGGGGGAGGAGGAGGAAGGGAGTCGCGGGACCCCACACCACAGGATGGCTGGGAAGAAAAGTGCTCTTTGCGTGCAGCTGCGAGGAGGCCGCCCTTGGCGAGCTCGCGGCCGAGCGGGCCGCGGGCCGCGCCGCGCTGCTCCGCGAGGGCGCGCAGTGCCGCTCCGCCGCGGCGGGTGCGGCCGCGGGGGAGGCGCGCGCGCGCGCCGCGGCGGAGGAGCGGGACGATCGAAGCGGGCACTCGGCGGCGAGCGAGGGCGGGGGAAGTGAGGGAGGAGAGGCCTGCTCAGCAGGCGGCGGGGTTTCTCGGAAGCCCTCCGGCCTTCTGAGAAGTTCTGTTTGCGCCGTTCCGGGAAGGCTTGGAAAACTTCTCAGAAGGCCAGGGGGCTGCCGAGCCCTCTGAGAAGGCCCGCCCCCTCTCGCTTCCCCCTGGGCTGGCCGCCGAGGTACGGAAACAATGGGCAGAAAGGCCAACAGTTGTGCTTATGCTCATTCTGGGCAGGATTCGCTGTCGGCATCGCCGCGGTCGCTGTCCATTTGAGACACGAGCTCGCCTGCCCACGAGCTGCCGCTGTCGGTTCGGGGCAACGCTTGCTGTGGGGCACCGTGCCCATTTTTTGTTGTCCGTGCCCCTTGCGGGCGTGGCAGAAGGAGCGGGGCCGCCGCCTGGAGGCGGCGTGCCGGGAGCGGGACGGGCTCTGCGCGGAGCTCGGGGAGGAGCCGGAGTGTAGAATGCTGTTGTTTCGGCGGCGAGCCTCCAGCTGGCATTGGTGCCGGACTGCTGCCTCGCGCCCGGCCTTGCTCCGCTTGCCTCCCTCCTCCCCCCGTCCCCGCCTCTGCGCCCTTCTCGTCGTGCCACTTCTTTGCGCTTGTAATGAAAAGGTGCGTTGAGCTCGGGGAGGAGCCATGGGGGAGACAGATCCTCTCGGCGGCGAGCCCCGCGCGGAAGGCTTCCTGGCCGAGTGTGAGAGTCGACGTCGTCTGGCGTTTCCGTTTGTTCCCGGAGCTTTTCTGGCCCCGGGGTGGTTTTTCCAGCGCCTGCGCCGCGGCGGGAGCGTTCCAGGGGTACGCGAATCGTCCCGAACGGCCGTCAGAGGCCCGAGTTTTCTCCCGAAAACCAGACTCGGCGGCGCGCCCAGGGGGGAAGGAGGGGGATGGCCTTTTCAGAAGGCTCAGAAGGCCTCTGGCCTTCTGAGCAGCTTTCTGAGCCTTTTCCGAGGGCACCAGCGGCTTCTCGGAAGGCCAGAGGGCCTTTGGGAAGCCGCCGCCGCCTTCAGAGAAAGCCTGCCCCGCTCACTTCCCCCCCAGGGCTGACTGCTCGGGGAGCCTGTTGAGGCCAGCGAGGGGCCTGTGGAGGCCAGCCTGGACGACCGGGGAAGCTGCCTGTGCGCAGCCCGAGGCCTCACCAGGCGTGCTGTGGCACGGGGCCCGCGCCCTCCCGGGAGCATCCCCTGGAGCGGAAGCTCGGGGTGCGCTGGGGCGGGGGGGGGGGGCCGGCGTCATCCAAGAAGTCCGCGCGGAGCTCCGAAAGTGCACGTTCAGACCGCAGTCGGGGAGCTATCGCCCCATCGTTTCCAAACACACACACGCACACACACACGCACACACACACACACACACCAAGGGGTGGGTCCAGGCCCCGAGCCCGCGGCGGAACTGCCGTCATCACCGCCGCGCCCTCCCGGGAGCATCCCCGAGTACAGGAGCGGGAGCTCCGCGTGCTCGCGGTGGCCGAGTTGGGGCGCAGGGGGCAGAGCGCCGCGGCCCACGAGCTGCGGGCTGCGGAGGGGGAGGCGCGGAGGGGCTCGGCTCAAAAGATCGCGCCACATCGCAGACGCGTTGGCGATGCGGCTCGATGTGGAGCCCGACTTTCTCCACGCCGACGTCGCCGTTGCTTCGCCAACGCATCGCCGACGCATCGCCGACGCATCGCTGATGCATCGGCGATGCATCGGCGATGCGGCGCGATCCTTCTACCCCATCTTATTCTGACCCCACTCGAGAGGCCTATAGGTACTTACCGCTACCCTTGCCTCGCTTTCGACTTTTCTTGGGGCCCCCTCGAAGGCCCTCGTCGCCACCGCTGGATTCGCCGCCAGGTTGTGGTCAGAACGCACCCAGGGAGAGGTCCGCGGGGAGCAGCAGTCTCGGTACCCTTTGGTTTCCCCAGTCAGACTGACCAAGGAACGAAGGCACTCGGCGTATAGGAGCTCGGTGGTTATATGCGCTTGCTTTGCTGTGGCAGGCGACAGGGTGCCTCTGTCCTCAAATCAAAACGCCGAAGGCGGAGAAAGTAGGTTTAGGAAGAAACCGACCTAGACCCGCGATCGCGTCTCCAGGCTGGCATCCTGTACAGGGCCTGCCAGGGCAGCCTACAGCCGAGGAGGCCGAACGTTACCTGCACTTCCGGGCCCCCGGCCCGTCCTCGATAGACGGAGGCCCAGAGAAGTAGCAAGGAAGAAGTGACCGACCAAGAGCTGCCTATCGAGTATACCCCATGGCCAGGATCACACATTGTGGGTGCATGTACGCTCTAGCGTCCCGCAGCTCGGGAAGCTGACGAGTCTGTAGACACCGAGCTTCCCGGCCGACTCGACGACTCAGCGTGCATTCGCTCTCCCCGAGCTTTGTATTCTGCAGCCTCAATCCGAACGTTTGCGTAGAGGGCCGGCACCATAGTGTGCATAGGACGTTCGGCTGTCGCCGAAATTCTGGGGAGCTCTTCGCCCCAGGAATTCGTTGAGGGGCCCTCTCCTGCTCTGCCCTCATCATAACAGAAAAAGATCCCCCTCCCTGAGCAGGCGCGCCTGGAAGCGGAGGCCGCAGCCGCGCGAGGGCTCGCGGGCGAGCTGCGGGAGGCGCGCCGCGAGCTGGCGGAGACCTCTGCGCCCGCGGCGGCTGCCGAGGCAGCCCTGCGCCAGCTCGAGGCGGAGGCCGCTCTGTCGCCGCCGCCGTCGTCGTCGTCGTCGTCGTCGTCGTCGTCGTCGTCGTCGTCGTCGTCCATCGTCGTCGTCGTCCGTCGTCGTCGTCGTCCTCGTCGTCGTCGTCGTCGTCGTCGTCGTCGTCGTCGTCGTCGTCGTTGCGGCGGCGGCGGCGGCGGCGTCGAGGCGATGGCCGAGCGCGTCGCGCTGGCGGAGGCGCGGCGGGGCGAGGAGGCGCTGCGGGCCGAGCTCGGGGCCGCGCGCGGGGCGCAGGGCGCGCTGAGGGAGGCAGCCGCGGCGGAGGCGGCGCGCGAGCTCGAGGCGCTGCAGGGCGAGCTCGAGGCCGCGCGCGGGGCGCAGGGCGGGCTGCTGCGGGAGGCGGCGGGGGCGGGGGCGGCGCGCGCGGCGGCGGAGCGGGCCGAGGGCGAGGAGCCCGCCCGCTGCGGCCAGGGCTCGTGTCTGCCCAGCCTCGGCGCCTGTCCTGTTCTTTTTTGGTGTTTCTCTCTCTCTCTCTCTCTGTCGCTGTTTCCCTCGCTCTCTCTCTCTCTCGGTCTCTGTCTCGATCTTTCTCCTGCTTCTGCTTGTCTCTCCGTACCACGCCCCCATCCACCTACGCATATGGCCTCCCATTCTTTTGTGACTCCCCTGCCCTGCCTCCTCCCCCCTCGCCCCTCCACCTCCCTCCAGTCCCCACCGTGTCCTCTCCTGACATTTCCGGGCCTCCCTCTCGCCTCCTTGCCTGCCCTCCTTCTGCTCCCCCCGGAAGGGGCGATGTGCGGCTCCCGATCTCGTGCATGCTGTTTGCCACTTCCCCGTCGTGCTGCCTGCGTGTAGCTTTCATTGGCTCGTCCCCCTCTTCCGCCGCGTCTGCTCGCGGGGCTCCTTCATGGGCACCAGCCGGCCTCTCGGGAGCCTCTTGAGGCTCCTGGTGGCTCTTGGGGGGGCCCTCTTGAGGGGCCTCTTGGGGGCACCGTGGGGTCTGGGAGGCCATCTTGTGGGGAGGGCTCCAGGGCCACCCTGCGAGTTCACCCTCTTGAGCGGGGCCGTTTTGGGGCCCTCCTGAGAGCTTCTTAGGCCGTCCTGGGGGCTTCATGGGCTGTCTTGGGCTGGTCTGGAAGCCCGAAACCGTGAGAACGCGGAAACAATTCAAACGCCAGCAGGAATATCAGTGGTTGTTGCCACTCAAGGCTCCCTTGGGCGTCCTCTTGGGGCCCTTCTCGGGGCGTGTTGGGGCCTCTTGGGCCGTGTTGAGGCTATCTTGGGTATTCTTGAGAGCTCTCCGGCATGTTGGAGACAGCATTTGGGGCATCTTGGAGGCTACGGAGGGTGGATTTGGTTGCTTCGATGCTCCTGGAGGTGCGCTGGTGAGCTCGTGTGGGACCCCTCCAAAACTTAGATTGTTGGGCTCTGGGGGAGGGGGGAAAGGGAGAGGGGCACAGGTAAATGCCTCGCACGCAGGTTCACCCCTGGCGAGGGAGGGTCTGGATCTCTCGGTCTCGAAGTGCCGTCTGCAGCAAAAACGTAGATGCCCCGTTGTTTTCATTTGGCGAATGCTCAGATGTGGAATTCGGTGCCCGTGACCCTTGGATCACACATATTGTATGCGCTCGCAGGCAGTTGTGTCGACGGTGGTACGCCGGCCCCTGGAAAGGGGCTCGCTCCGCCAAGACACATTAGAGGACGCTGCACACAGAGCGGGTGAAGGGGGGCGGGGGCGAGGAGGCGGTCGGAGGGGGTTCCGAGGGCCCCCCAGGGAGGGGGGAAGTGGGGGTCAGCCAGGGAACCGCGGGGACCTAGGTTATCCCGGCGGCAGCCGCCTGCAACAAAAATTTGAAAAAAAACAAGGAGGAGGGGAAGTGGAAGGGAGGACGAGGAGGAGGACCAGTGTGAACCCGAGGCGCATCAAGGATGTTGCAATCAACCCTCCCTCCAAGTTCCCCTTCCATAGGTCCCAGGAAGGATTCATTATCATTGCTGGAAGCTCCCGATTGGAAGACAACCGTTCGAGAATAGTCAATCGTATTATAGTGCAGCTCGTTGGACACTTCAGCGCCGCGAGTGAACATAACTGTCGCGTCTGGTCAATCCTACACCGTTTCAGAACACAAAGCCTGGGACCTCATCGCAGCGAGTCAACGTGACTGTTGCATCCTGACAATCCGAGGTCGTGCCAGAGCGCCAGTTGTTGGACAAGAACCATACGAATCGTTGAAACGGTTGCAAACGTTTCAGACAATTTGTTGTGCCGCCAAAGCGAGAGCCACAATTTGAAAACGCACCGACCATACGAATGGTTGAAACGGTTGCAAACGTTTCAGACAAATCTTTGTGCCGCTAAAGCGAGAGCCACAAATTGAAAACGCACCGGCTATCATCTGCGAAACAGTTACATTTTGTAGGACAAATGCGTGCGACGTTAAGGGCGTAATCACATTGAGATAACCATCCGCCTTCCATTCACTCAACGGCTGCAAACTGTTCAGACAAATGCGTGCGGCGAACAGGCGGTAGCCAGATTTAGATAACCATCCGCCCTCCATTCGTTCAGCTGCTGCAGAGTTTAAGGATGAATGCGCACGGCGCTGAGGCGAGAGTCACATTTCGAAAGCGGCCCGCCCTCCATCTGTGACGCTGTTGCAAGCTTCAAGCTTCAGTATCATAGATGGTGAAGGGGTCCGGCGAAACGCCTAGCCCGTCCTGCCGACACATCAGGGGCTGCGACAGGGAGGAGTTGTTAGTAAAGGAAAGGGATGGTGGAGGTGGAGGAGGGAAGGAGGACCAGTATAAACCCAAGACGCATCAACGATGTTGCAATAGACCCTGCCTCCAAGTCCCCTCTTCATAGCCCCCGGAAGGAATTTATTTTCACTGCTGAATGTGCTCAGTTGGATGACACCCGTCTGGAGATCCTCAACCGTGTCAAAACGCCACTTCTTGGACCCCAACGCGACGAGTCAATTTTAATTCTCGCGTCCGGACGGTCCTGCACCGTGTTAGAACACCATTCCTAGGATTTCAACACCGCGAATCGACGTGACTGTTGCGCCCTGACAATCCTATTTCGCGCTGGAACAGAATTCTTAGGACGTCAACCGCCCGTTGAGCGGTTGCAAGCTTTTCAAACGATTGCTTGCGGCGCTGAAGCGATAATCGCATTTTTACACGGGCCGCTCTCCATCCGAGAAAACGGTTGTACTCTTCGAAGACGACTTGGCGGGGCGCTAAGGCGAAAACCACATTGTGAAAAGGAGCGGCCCTCCACCCGTGGAGCGTTTGCGAACTTCTGCACGGATGCGCGCGCCGTTGCCGCGATGCGCACATTTTGAAACGGAGCCGCCCTCCACCCTCCACCCGTGAAGCCCCTGCAGCATTGTCAGAGGAGCGTGCGCGTCGTGAGGGCGCGAGCCACACTGTGAAAAGTAGCCGCCCTCCGTCCGTGAAGCTCTTGCAGAGTTTGAAGACAAAGTTGCTCGTCGGTAAGGCGAGGGCCACACGGTGCAGCGCAGCCGCCCCCCATCCATGAAACTCCTGCAGCTTTGCGAGCACATGCGCGCGTCGCTGAGGCGAGGGCCACATTGTGAAAAGCAACCGCCCTCCATCCGCGCAGCTCTCGCAAACTTTGAATACGATTGCGTGCGCTGCCAAGGCGAGGGCTACATGTTGGGAAGTACCCGCCCTCTCTATCTGTTCAGCGCTTGCAAACTTTGAAGACGAACGTGTGCGGCGCAAAGGCGAGAGCCACTTTTTGAAGACGGCCCGCCGTCCATTCGTGACACGTCTCGGGGCAACACAAGCAAGAGCTAGTTCTCAAGAAGAGAACTGGGGGGGGCAGGAGGAGGAAGAGGAGGAAGAGGAAGGGGGCCGAGGAAGAGGCGGAGGAGGAGGAGGAGATGAAGAGTGGAAGGAGGAGGGAAGGAGGAGGAGGATGACGAGGAGGGAGTCAGGAGCAGGAGACGCGAAGGAGGAGGAGGAGGAGGAGGAGGAGGAGCAGGAAAACGAGCAGGAGGAAGGGGCTGAGCGGGCCGGCCCCCAGAAGCGCCCCATCCCCCCCCACCCACCCACCCGGCACCTTCAGGAGAGGGTCGCCGCCCGGTCCCGGGACGCCGCAGAGGCGGCGGCGGCCCAGGCACGCGCAGCCCGGGACGAGGCCGTCGACGAGCGCGACGGGCTGGCAGAGGCGGCGCGGCGCCCGACGTCGTTCTCACGAGAGAGGGGGGAGGAGAGGAGGGAGGGAGGGAGGAGGAGGTAAGAGGGAGGGAGGGACGGAGGGAGGGAGGATGGAGGAGGCAAGAGCGAGGAGGAAGGAGGGAGGCGGGAGGCGGGAGGAGGAGGAGGAGGAGCGAGCGAGCTATAGAGCAGGGGGCCGTCCGAGAACATAGCCCAGACGATGAAGTGGCAGGGGGAGGAGAGCGAGGTGGGAGGAGGAGGGCGGGGGAAGGAGGGGGAAGATGAGGAGGCGGCGGCGGAAGGAGAAGGAGGAGAAGGTTCGAGGCTCGAGGCGCGGGTCGCGTTTTTTCTATGATTTGTTTTCGCCTCTGGGGATGTTCTCGTCGCCACGGCTGGGCTCCCTTCGAAAGCCTGCACAAAACGCACACCCGGAAAGGCCTGGGGAACAACTTTTTTGAGGGACGAGGGGGAGGAAGATGGAGAAGAAGGGAGAGCAGGAGGGGGAGGCGAAGGAAGGATGAGGTTTCAAAGCTGGAGATGTGGTCTCTGATCGGTTTCGGCGTCCAGGCAGGCCATAAGTCGATCCGCAGCAGGAGTTCGGCGTCGGATCTCGGGCCCTCCCTCCATCCGCGCACCTGTCGGAGATGGCCGAGGCGAATGTGCGCGGCTCTGAGGCGGCCACCACGGCTTGGAAGCAGAGCGCCCTCCACCCGTGCAACAGTCGAAAATTGAGAGCTGCATGATCATACGAGTGTGTGGTCGGGACGTCTCTGGCGAAACGCCCAGACCGCCGTTTCGGCCCGTCTGTACATGCGACGAGGCTCGACCGCCTGTGTTGCAGAATCGACGCGCTCAGTCTGGCCCCGCAGTTAGGAGCATCCGCTGGGCTCAGAAAAAGGCAGATACACTCTGAGTGCACGTTTGCCACAGTGCTCGCTGGGCCCAGAGAGGGGGCCCAATTCATGTGGCGTCGACCGCGGCTTTTGATCTCTTAGTTCGAATGGGCGGAGATCCTTGGATCGACTTGGTCGGCGTAGTTGCGCCGTTCGTGTTAGGCCATCGAAAAGTCTGGCCGAGAGGGAGTGCTGAACGTGTCACGATGTGCGCCCTGGCGGGTCTCCCGACGGAGGTTCGCGCAAAATGTAGAAAAGAGTGCGATCGCCCCTTTCTCCCTCCCTCTCTCTCTCTCTGTCTCTCTCTCTCTCTCCCACTCTGTCTTTCTCTGATTTGCATCCCTTCTTCCTTTTTTATTCCTCGGTCACGTGGCAGCCAACGAAACCACAGGATGGGGCAAAAGGGAGGAGAAGGGAGCAGGAGGAGCAGGATGAGGAGCAGGAGCAGGAGGAGGAGGAGGATGGAGGGATGAGGAGGAAGAGGAGGATGAGAGGGGGCACAAGTTTGGACGAGGAAGGATTACGAGGATAAGTGAGCAGAGGGAAGGAGGAGGAGGAGCCAGGGAGGAGGAGTGAGGAGGAGGGGGAGAGATATATGGAGGTGGGGGGAGGAGGAGGTGCGGGTGAGTGTTTGGCTCCGCTGCGGATCCTCACCCCCGAGAGTCCCTGTGGATGCCCAGAAGGGGCAGAATTGTTTGAGAAACCTCGATCCTCGAGGGCCGATGACAAGACCTGGCAGCAAGAGGATGGGCAGCGCCGGCCCCAGGAGTGCGCAGGGTTGCGGGCCGCGTCCAGCCTCGCCTCGGAGGCGCTGGCGCGCGCGGAGGGGGCTCGCGACGCCGCCGAGGGGAGGCTGCCAGGGCGACCCCAAAGCTGACGGCGACGACGGCGACTTCGACAGTGGACAGGGCCCCCATGCCAAGGCAAGCTGGACGGGCACCCAGCAGAGGTGGCAACGACGACGGCGACGGCGACGAAACACGACGACGATTGCCGCGGCGGCGACGACGACGACGACGGCCGCAACGACGACGACGACGACGACGACGTTGACGACGACGACGACGACGACGACGACGACGACGACGACGACGACGACGACGACGACGACGACGACGACGACGACGACCGCGACGAGGTCGAGGACGAGGGCGAGGACGACGACCAAGAGCACTAGAAACGCCGACGGCAGCGGTGGTGTCGGGGGGGGCGGCGAAGGGTGCCGCCGGAGGTGCTCTGGAGATCTTGGCGGTGTTTGTGAGTTTTCTTTTGCCGCGCGCAGGAGGATAGGATCGAGGCTTTGATTGTTTTGGCTCATCGGGGAGATTCTGGAGGCCTGGAAGCTTCCAGAGACCTCCAGGGGACCTCTGATGACGACTGCGAAGACGTCTGGAGCCCTCGGCTGTTGTCGGGACTCAGCTTTTCGGAGCTCGGAGAGAGCGCGTTTCACGGGCGCTTGCCTTGGGAACATTCGGCGGCGCGTTTCGAAGCGGGGGGGGGCGGCTCCCCCTCCCAACACTCGGCGCCGTCGATCAAAACCAGGGGGACTCCCCTCTCCCCCAGCCCCACCCCCTCCCGAACCCCCCCCCCTCCCAGGGGGTGGGGGTTTCAAACCCCTCCCTCCCCGCGCCGGCGCCGGCACCGGCGCTGGCGGCCGCCAGCAGCGCCGACGGCGGCGGGGACGCAGCGACGATGACCAGAGGCAGCCCAAGGGGGGTGGGGGAGGTTCCAAATCCCCCCCCGCGCCGGCGCCGGCGAGGACGCAGCGACGATTACCACCATTGCCACCACCATCACCACTACCACCACCACCATCACCACTTCAACCCAACACCACCACCACCACCACCACCACCACCACCACACAGTCACCACCACCACCACCACAGCCACCACCACCACCACCACCACCACCACCACAACCACCACCACCACCACCACCACCACCACCACCATTACCACACCACAAAACCACCACCACTACCACCACCACAATCTACCACACCACCACCACCGCCGCAACCACCACCACTACCAGCAGCACCACCACCACCACCACCACCACCACACAAACCACCACACCACCACACCACCACTACCACACCACCAAAACCACCACCACCAACCACCACCACCACCACCACCACCACCACACCACCACACACCACCACCCACCACCACCACCGCCACCACCACACGCCACCACCACCACCATTGCCACCACCATCACCACTACCAACCACCACACTCAACCAACACACCACCACACAGTCACCACCACCACCACAGCCACCACCACCACACAACCACCACCACCACACACCACCACTACACAAAACCCACCACCACTACCACCACAAATATACCACCCACCACCACCGCCGCAACCACCACCACTACCAGCAGCACAGCCCACCACCACCACCACCACAAACCACCACACCACCACCACCGCCACCACCACCACAAACCCCACCTCCACAAACCACTGCCACCGCCACAAGCCACCACCACCACCACCACCAAAAACCGCTACCACACCACCACCAAACCACCACCACACAGCCACCACACCACACCCACCCACCAAACCACCACCACCAACCACCACCACACCGCCACCACCACCACCACCACCACCACCACCACCACCACCACCACCCACCACCCCACCACCAACCACCACCACCACCACAAAAAAACACTACACCACCACCATCACAGCCACCACCACCGCCACTACCACCACCACAACCCACCACCACCACCACCACCACCACCACCACCACCACCACCACAACCGTCGTCCTCGTCGATGCTCCCCGCCGCCGCCGCCCGCCGTCGCAGGCGCTGGCGCCGGCCCAGAAAAGGAACTCGTCGTCCCCGACGCCAGCGCCAGCCGCCGCCGACGCAGGTGACGGCCCGAGGAGAGGGAGAGAAGAGAAGTAGAGGAGGAGGGGGGAGGAGGGGGGGTCGAACCCCCCCCCTCCATCCAGGGGGGGAGGGGTCCGGTTCCAACCCCCCCCCCTCCCTCCATCCAGGGGGTGGAGGGGTCCAGTTCCAACCCCTCCCAATCCAAGCGACCACAGAACGCGCTCTTTCGGAACTCGAGACCCCATCTGGCATCCAGAGCTCGACGAGAACTCCGGACAGGCAGCACTCATGCCCCGACAACCTTCTGCGAACCGCTGGATGATCCCGCACGCCTCTGGACGCCCTCGGAGGCTTTCCTGGGCCCCCCAGGGTGATCTCCAGCACCCGTGCCCTGCAGGGCCTGGTGGAGTCGCCAGAGTCGTCCCAGACGCCCTCGTTGGCCCAGCTGCCCACGCTACGAAGAGCCCACAGCACCCCCTGGCGCCCCGAGAGGATCAGGACGGCTGCTCACTGGGAAACAGCCTTCCGGAAACCCGGGGCCCACGAGAACACGGCCCGCGCGACGCGACATGGAAGAGGAGGACGAGGAGGAGGAGGAGGAGGAGGAGGAGGAGCTAGAGCAGGAGCAGGAACAGGAAGAGGAGGAGGAGGAGGAGGAGGAGGAGGAGGAGGAGGAGGAGGAGGAGGAGCGGGGCCGCGGGCAGCAGGAAAAGGACCAGGGCTGGCATGATTATGACGGAGAGGCAAGAGGAACAGGGGGTGGGGAGGGAGGGAAGAGAGGGAGAGGGAGGGGAGGAGCACGATGTTGCGGGGGAAGAGGGCAGAAGCCGGATCCCGCCCGCCCCCGTGGTCTTGGCCGCCCCGAGGCTGCTGGAGGAGGTGGAGGCCCCGGGGTCGGCCGGCCACTGCCCTACGGCATTCGCTCGGGGGCTCGGGGGCGCCCGGGCGCCTCCTGCGGCGCCCTCGCCGCCGCGGCCCCGACCCGTGTCGTCCCTCGGCTGGGGGCCTCCTTACAGTGGAGACCCATGCCAAGAAACACCCTGCTTGCCTCCAAGGTGCCCTGGGTTTCTTGGGTCTCGATGGTAATGGAATAAGCGTGTCGCTCCCACACCAACAATCGATGGACGTCCTGGGGTCGCAGGGCTGGGTTTCTTGTGGAAGGGTTTTTGTGGTCGAGCTCTTACTGCAGGCGCCGACAAGCTTGGAACACCCCCCCGTGCTCCGATTTCTGTCAGGGACGCCAGAGGTCGGAGGTCCCGCACGGCGGGCGGGTGCCTCGGGGCTACGGGAAGTGTCGGGCGTTGCCAGAGCAGGGCCCCTGGCCCGGGGCCCCAGCGGCCGCCAGAGCACCCCTCACAAGGCCCAGAGGGCCCCCGGGGGCCCCAAAACTGAGCGAAGAGCTGGGGGCACCTCGGGCCAGGGGCACCTTTTATAGCAGCCCCCGAGATCGGGGCCAGAAAAAGTGGGGGCTGTGGCCGACCGCGGGCGGCGGAGGCGTGCGCGCTCCTGCGGGAGCAGGCTGCAGCCGCGGGCGCCCGCGTGGCTGCGCCGGAGCAGAGCGCCGAGGGGCTGGTGCAGGAGCTTCTCTAGGCCTCCCAGATGGCGTCCGAGTAGATGTCGAGTAAGGGACTGACTACAGAATTGACTTACCCCAGAATTGATTTTCCAGTCGAATCTACGAGCAATGCGAGGATTGTTCCGTAGATCTACGAGCACGTTCTATATTTATTTCATTCGACGAGAAAGTTAGCTTTGGGGTAAATCGAATATGTAGTCGACCTACTCGAAGATGGGGTCGAAGGATCGCGCCGCATCGTCGATGCATCGCCGATGCGGCTCGATGTGGAGCCCGATTTTCTCAACGCTGGCGTCGCCGATGCATCGACGAAGCATCGCCGATGCATCGGCAGTGTATCGCAGATGTATCGGCGATGCGGCGCGATCCTCCGACCCCATGTACTTCGACCCCCTCTAGGAGGCCTCTAGACTCGAGTAGGGGATCGACGGGCTGACTCGCCGCGGCCGCCGGCCTTCCCCCGTCCTGGCCAGGGGCCCCGCCGAGTCATGAACAACTCACTGCGGAGGGGTGTCCGCCAGTTTCGGCCCCTCGGGGGGCCCCCACAGGGGCTCGGGGGCGCCAGGAAGCGGCTCGGGATGAGAGACTGGTCTCGGGGACTGGGTCGAGACCTTCGGGCGTCGACGTCGTGGAAAGTGCATGACGTCGGCTGGCAAGACTTCGGGTTGCGCGCAGACGGCCCTCCCCAGGTAGCCCCGGCTGGCTTCCGCAGGCCCCCCGAGCAGCCCCAGGCCCCCCGAGCAGCCCAGGGTGGTCCCGACACCTCGGCGGCGCCCCCCTGGGGCGCCCCGCGCTCATGTCGAGACCGCCCCTGGCTACGCGGGGGGCCCGTTGAGGCCCGCTTGGGCTGCCAGCTGGGGGGCTGCCTGGGCGGCCCGTCTGCGTGCTCCAGGCGGCTTCTCCCAGATCATCTGCGACCAGGAATTATTGGTGCGTAGCGGTTTTTGATCACGCCGAATTTCGGCCGCGACCCAAAGGGGTTCGACTTTCGGTAACGAAGGGACGGCGCGTGAGGGTCCAAGCGAGGGTTTCGAAGACGTCGACGGCTCGCTCGTTACCGGGATTCGCGACTGGAGGCCAAATGTCGGTTGCGACCGGTTCGTTTAGAGCGTTACTGGATATGTTCGGTAGCAGAAGATTTGGGCGCTCGTGTCCGGCGCTGGCTCCTCGAAGTACAGCGACGCAGTCAGGCAGTAACTTCATTTCCTCTCCTCTCCTTGCTCCTGCGCGCGCATGGTGGCAGGAGAGAGGGCCATGGCCATTTCCACTCAGGCCAGCCTGAACAGGCGACGTGGTCGTCGAAAGCTCACCCAGAGCCTCAGCGCCTGAAACACCGAGCTCCTAATCACGGGCTCGAGATCGTCCATTGTTGAATTCTGCGGGGGCCGCCCTCTGAGCCCGCTCGGAGTCCGAGCCTGCTCGGCCGCCGAATCGAGCGACGGCCTACACAGCAGGGCGACGCGAGAAATCGTGACGGCCAGTGTACCCATGGCTTTTGGCCTCTATATCGGGGCCGCTTCCCAGCCTTAGGTCCATCAAGGTATTGCCCATCGGATATCGGCTCGGGGCTACGTCCCGAATAGGAACTGGCACGGCCGGATGGCCCTGGGTGCAGTGCGGGCCACCTTGTCCCAGTCGAAATGGCCATGGCACTCTCCTGCCAGCACGCGCGCGCAGGAGCAAGGAGGGGAGGGGAAACGAAGTTCATGCCTGCGGCGCCGCTGTACTTCGAGGAGCCAGCACCGGACACGAGCGCGCAGATCATTCCGGGTTCTCGACCGTGGCACGTGCCAGCCTAAGGTCGAGAGATCCCCTGGGGCTGACGTCCCGAAGAGAAGCTAGCACGACGGAGATACAAGAGGTGCGAGGGAAGGGGGCCGCGGGCATGCGCGAATGAATTGCCCAGGCGAGCGGGTGGGGCGAGCGGGCCCCAACCCCCAGAAACGGAGGTTGTTCTCAGTTTTTCGGCGCCTATGGGGGCCCTCGCCGGGCCCCAGGGCGCCTGGGGTATCGACCTCTATCCTAGGCCCGCCCGCTGCCATAGAGGGGGAAAAATAATCCTCCGAGGGGATCGGGTGCTGGGCCCAGGGTCCCTCTCCCAGGGCCCACGGGCCCCCGACCTCTCGACCACTTCCCCGGCAAGGGTTTCTCATTCCGAGTCGCTTTCTGACGGCCCCACAGCCTGGTAAGGGTTCCGGGGGGCCCAAGAGAATGAAAAACCTCCGTCGTGCTGTTTTGGAGACGCCGGATGTCTGGGCTCGGCAGGCCGCGCGGGCAGGACATTCATGGCAGGGCGGGCCGGCTTTCACGCAACCGAGCGGGCGGACCCTACGGGCGGGACAGGCGGGTCGGGCGGACGGGCGGGTGGGCGGAGCCAAACGGGCGGGTCGGGTGGGGGAGCGGAAGGTCCCGCGTGAGCGCCCTCTCTTCCACGTTTTGGGCCGCGGCCGGGCGGGCGCAGACGCCGAGCGGGCTGGAGCGTGAAAAGACGCCCTCAGAGGCTCCCGATAGGGCCATTCCAGCGGTGCCGCGCTCGTCTTATACATACATATGCACATATATGGTACACTTACATACCTACCGACCTACCTGCCCGCCTACCTACCCACCTACCTCCCTGCCCACCGACCTACCGACCTACCTCCGTACGTACGTACATCGATACATGCATGCATACACACATCCACCAATGCATCAAACCATCCATACATACATACATGCAGACATGCATACATGCATGCATACATACATAACTACGTACACACCTACCTACCTACCTACCGACCAACCAACCAACCTACCTATCTACCTACCTACCTATCTACCTACCTACATACATACATACATATATACATATATGCAGACACACATACGTACATACATGCATGCATGCATGCATGCATACATACATACGTACGTGCATGCATGCACACAAGCATGCATGCACACATACACGCATACATAAATTCATGCATGCATGCATACATGCATATATACATACATACACATACATACATACATGCATGCATGAATGCATGCATGCATACATGCATGCATGCATAACTTCAGACAAACATATATATATACATACATACATACATACATACATACATACATACATACATACATACATACAAACATACATACATACATACATGCATACATACATACATACATACATTCATACATACATACATACATACATGCATACATGCATATATACACACCTATATACATTGATGCATGTGTGCATACATACATTTCTACACACATACATCTATACATCCATCCACCCATACATTCATACAGGCAGGCAGGCAGACAGACAGACAGGCAGACATACATACAGACACCGACATGTACACATCCATCCATGCATACATTCGTTCATGCATACATGCACATATGCATACATGCACATATACATGCACACATGCATGCATGCTTACACACACACACACACATAAATATATACATACATATACAAACACGCATACACATGCAAATGCACGTGCACGTGCACGTGCACATACACATACACATGCACATACACTTACACCTACACATGCATGTATACATATCTACATGCATGCATGCATACACACCTTCATACATGTAAACAGACTTACCTATCTACCTACCTACAGACCGACCTGCCTATCTACCTACCTACCCACCGACCCATCTACAGACCTACCTACCTACCTACCTACCTACCTATCTACCTACCTACCTACCTATCTACCTACCTACCTACCTACCGACCTACCTATATACATACAGGCATGCGCACACACACAGATGCAGATATACACACACATACAGGCATACAACTAATACTAGGTTTACATACAAACAGGGCCGGCGGTGCCGTGCCGTGGGGCGTCCTGGGTGTGCAGTTGGCGCTCTCCTGCGTCAGGAGATCGAGCGCCTGGGCGAGCGGCTCTACCGCCTCGGCGAGGCGCGCGACGCCTGGCGGGAGCGCGCGGAGGCCGCGGAGGCAGCCCCTGCCAGCAGCGCCGCCGCCGCCGCTCCGCTTGGGCGCGGTGGCCGCGGCCTCGCACACGCGCCGCGGGCGCCGCCCACGCTGCCCACCCGGAGGGCCCAAGGAGGGCACCCCTCGGGGCGCTGCACGAGCAAGCGTGACCTTTCGCTGGGGTGACCTTTGGTGCGCGGTGTTGTCGGGGGGCGCGGGCGAGCCCAAGCACGCCGGCCGCTGCTGTCGCATCGCAGGCCACGATCGGCAAGCCGCGCACCAAAGGGCACTCTTGCCCAGGGTCACGCGATGTCGATGGAACCAGAGCTCCAGCGAATGGCCCCTGCTCGAGATAGTGGCGTTTCTATTCGACGTCGGCTCTGTTGTGGGCGGTTTGGGGGCTCCGGGGCGATCAAGTAGCGATGCTGGGCGAAGATTCGGCCCCGGGAACAGGGCCGAAATTGTCGAGAGATCCGGGGCCCACTGACGGGAAGAATCACGACGCCAGATGTCCGGGGCTGAGTGGGCTTCTGCGTTTCATAATGTGCTCTGGCGGGGGCCGCGCCGCGAATGTTCGAAGCGTGTTCGGGTGGTGGTTCGTGTTTATGTCTGAAGCTGTTCGGGGGCAATCTTGGAGCCATCTTGGAGCCACCCAGAGCAGGGGAAGCCTTTGCAGCCACCTCTTGGCAAGCCTTTCGGGTGGCCGGCGCGCTTGGCTGAAGCACCAGGAGGAGTTCTCGGGAACAGAATCAAGACCAAGCCGTACAGGATTCAGCACGCCAGGCACCCCTGTGGCAAGCCAGCAGGGGGCGGCGGATCCATTGTCCTTCGTCCCATCCCGCCACCGTGCCTGGGCTGTGGGTATGAAGCTTATTAGATGTGCGTCAGGATCTCGTGGGTGGCCTCTCGGGGGGGGGCTTCTTGGAGGCAGTTTGGAGGCCTCTTGGGGACCGTTTTGTGGCCCCTTGGGCCCTTTTTGGGCCTCTTGGGGACATCTTGGGGCCTCTTGGGGGCCCCTCGGGAGCCTCTTAGGGGCCTCCTGCGCATCTCTTGGGGCCTCCTGGGGGCCTCTAAAACTAAGATTTTCGGTTCGTGTGCCCCCTCTCGGGCCCCTTACGGGGCCGTCTTGGGCCCCTCTTGGGCCGTCTTGGGCGCCTCTTGGGCCGTCCTGGGGCGCTCTTAGGCCGTTTGGGGAGCCATCTTGGAGGCCTTTGGGGCCGTCTTGGAGCGGTCTGTGGGGCCTCTTGGGCCATCTTGGAGCGTCGGAAAACCGAGAAGGCGAGAACGTCAAAATCTTTCAAAAGCCAGAGGCGAATCCATGATTGTTGCCTCTTGGGAGGCCTCTTGGAGGCCTCTTGGGGCGTCTTGGGGACCTTGGGCCGTCTCGAGTTCATCTCAGGCGTCTTGGGCCGATCTTGGGGGCCTCTTGGGACCTGTCGTGTCTCCCCGCGTGACGCTTTGTGTCCTCTTGGCCAGTCCTGGGGCCCTCCATAGGGCCGAAGAAAGTCACGCGCCACCACTTCCAAAGCCCAGGGCGCACGCGCCAGGCCTCAAGAGATTTCGGACATCAGGGTCTGGGCCTTTTAAAACGCTCCTCAGGACTGGGGACCCAGGCTCAGAGGATGGGGCAAAGGACTCGAGGACACGCCCGCTCCGTGCCCAGAAGCACGGTGGCGGATCTGGGGGGGCGGCAGTGCAGAGGTCTTGGGGCCCGCCCCAGGCCGAAAAGAGCCCCCCCACCCCCCACAAAAAAACGTCGCGTTTTTCCAAAAGGACAGGATGAGGGGATGGCTCGAGCTCCTCCGACGTCTCAATTCGTTAATCGCGTCGTCTCCGGGGGATCTCGACCCCTTCCCTGGGACCAGAGTCTCATCCGGAGGCGTTTTTGTTCATGGCCCCGGGGCCGGGAAACCCGCCTCCAGAGGCCAAAAACGTCAACCGCCCGTCGCAATTTTGTTGTTGCGTCGCTTGGATCCGAGGGTCCTTCCTGGTAAGGCGGCGGGCTGCGCACAGAGAGCCCGCCGCGGTAGCCCTGGCTGGCCTCCACACGCCCCGACTAGTAGTCCCAGCGGGCCTAAACAGGCCCCGCAAGCAGTCTGGGGCGGGGGCGTCTCAGCACCCCAGCCCTCGGGTGCGGAGCGCCACAGGGGCGCCGCCGGAGGCGGCCATAGGGTGCCGAGACCGCTCAGGGCTACTCGGGCGGCTCGCTGAGGCCCGCTGCAGGGGTGGCTCCCTGCGCGCAGCCCGAAGCTTTTTCCCAGGAGGGACCCTCAAAGATCCCTCCGCTGCCCCCCCATCCCGAGCCTCCGCCCTTCGGCCTATGGTTCGGTCCTGTGGGATGGGGCCCGAGGACGAGGTGCCTCAAACAATGCAAATCCGCCCTTGGATCGCGATCGTTTGCTTATTCATTGTTGCGCCGATCGGCGCGGCCCTCGCACCCCCACCATGGAGTAGATCTTGGCTCCTTTTGGTGCCTGTCTCAAGCAGTTGGAGTCTCCCCCCTAGGATGCACGTTTCCAAACAGTGGCGTGAAGCAGAGGTCTGGAGACCCCCCCCTCCCCCCCCTTCCGCGCAATGTCGAAACGCCGAACAAGAAGACGTTCACATTCCAGGTACTCGGTTCATGATGGCACACGGAGGGAGAGGCCGGAGCACCACCTCCCGCAGGCGGGGTTCTACTTGGCAAAAGGGGAGTTATCAATGCAAACCCACCCTTCTGGATCCCTTCCTGTCCTCAGGGCCCCAGCCCCCAGGACCCCATCTTCGAGCCACCGTGTTCCGGGCGGAGGGGTCCCTGCTTGCGGCGGCCCTCCGCCGCCGCCCCGGGCGGCGCCGCGGGGGGGGAGCCGCGCCCCTCGGCGCGGGGCCGCGCGGCGGGCTCCTCGGGGGGGGGGGGCGCGGCAGAAGCGCGGCGGAGCGGCGCGGGCGGCCCGAGCCATCGGGGAGTTTCGAGGAGCATCATTAGTTGCCCCCTTTTTTTCTTTCGGCGGTTGGTCCTAAAACCTCCTCCTCGTAGTGGTCGTAGTCGCAGTCGCAGTCGCAGTGGTAGTAGTAGTAGTAGTAGTAGTAGTAGTAGTAGTAGTAGTAGTAGTAGTAGTAGTAGTAGTAGTAGTAGTAGTAGTAGTAGTAGTAGTAGTAGTAGTAGTCGTAGTAGTAGTAGTAGTAGTAGTCGTAGTCGTAGTCGTAGTCGTAGTCGTAGTCGTAGTCGTAGTCGTAGTCGTAGTCAGAGTCGTAGTCGTAGTCGTAGTCGTAGTCGTAGTCGTAGTCGTAGTCGTAGTCGTAGTCGTAGTCGTAGTCGTA